TATTAACGTTTAGAAACGTTTTCTATTTTGCGTGCGTTTTAGCTTGCATATATCGTTTAGCGTATTTCGTTTTGCGTGCGTCTGCGTATTTCGTTTCATAAAGTGTGCGTGTAACGTGCGTTCGTATAGCATGTAACATGCGTGCGTTTTTTCCGGAACATGCGTTTTGCGTTTAAACTGAAACGTTGACCCTACTATATCACATACACAAAATAAAGACCGTTTAAAGTGAAATAAGAGTAGTTTTTCATTTACGCGCCTATAGTATAACGCTAACATTTAGGCAAATTAGCGCGTCTTTACACAATGCTTGTTTATAAAGCTAATGACGTCACGTCAAATTATATGCACGGATGTGCAATACCATATTTACTGAGTGGCAATATCAGCACCGGTGTGTGCTAAGCATATTAATACATATTAAGCGCATGTCAATAAATTTCAATTTTAAGTGATATGAAAAATATTTTCTGTTGTGCTGTCCTTGTAAATCCAATAACTTAACATCACAACCAGTTTCCTTATTTTCCTCATTTTTTTCCTCTCGATTACAGTTTCAGACCTAAAATAAAATTGCTTTCTTAATATTTATATAGATCTATACTCATATATTGTAATGCCCTAGAAATTTTACCTTTTTTAGTGATTTCACTGTTTATTTCTACTTTCACTTTCGTTTTGAGAAGCTTTTACTGGCGACAACACAGTATAAATCATGCGGTGTCCTAATGAAACATACAGGACATCAACTTAAATCTACGTATTGTGCCAGCAATTTAATCATTCTTGATTCTGGAAGCTTTTCCTTTAATGTTATCCATTTCCCTTAATGTTATCCGTGGTAGAATCCTGTATTTTTAATCTGTTTTCGTGACATCTGTCAAAATAGTTACTTCCTTTTATTTTACACTCGAGATTATATCGTTCGATTGTTTATGATGCAGCCTCACTTAATATATAGATTTGCGTCATAAATCCATCTGAATTTAATTGTTAGCACTGTATATTTATGAAAAAATGCAATGCATTTTTCAATGTCGGCCATGTTGGACTATTACGTAGAGATTACGTATTGAATGCAAGGGATAGTTCTTTAGGCAGCACACCACACTAAATAAAGCCACAGCTTCGAATGGCCAGGGAGGATTTCATGGATATAGTGACTTTTGTGGATTTAAATGACTGGTTGTCTATAAAATGCATTTTCAGCATAAAATTTGTTTTTGTGACATGTAATATGATCATTGGCAAATTCGAAAACATGGTTAGAAATCACATGCTGATAATTATTGATGTCAAGGTCGCCATTGTTTGTAAACATTGCTTTTAAACAGCATGCTCGGTGAAAACAAGTAATTTTACAGGGGGGTACAAACTTTCAGCAATAGCAAAAAATCTACAAGGCCAAGGACCTATTTTTTTGTGATATTTTGCATGCATAGGGAGTTGCTAAAGCAGTGACAGAGTTTTTGTAGACCGTATATTTGCAGGTATTTTTTGCTGGAGGGACGAAAAATGTTGTTTTGGGTCTCGGACCACTATAGATTTTTGGCTTTTACGGAATGAATTGGAATTTTTTTAACTGCCTGACTGTTGCACATGGGATGATTTCATTACAGATTTGCAATGTTATGACATATATGTTCTTAACAAAATTGTTCTTTTTCCAGGTTGTGTAGTTTGGGATCAGATTTATCAGACATATTGCTTGTAGGACATTGACGGCAGAAACTTGAAATTTAGTGTGGAGTGCTACCTTAATCCGATTGCGCATAAAAAGGAACACGTTACCCTAACTATTTTACTTTCGATATTAGCGCATGGTAGCTTATAAATATTTCTAAAAATCATTTGTTGAGGCTGTGACAAAAATTAATTTCGGTGCTAAGTTGAGTGCATTTCAGTTTTTAAATTACTCGTTTTAAAAAAAATTTTTAAATACCATATGACCCCTTTATTTAAGACCGTATCCCAAATTTTCGCCCTTGGGGTGGGCGTCATGGGGGGCCGGGTACGGTGGGAATTTAAAAGGGTTAATTTATCTTAAACCTTTCTCTTTTAAAAATTGGGAAAATTGAAAAGGGAAAATTTTGTGTAATTGAATAAATTTACATAAAAAAAGGATGGGGTATGAATTAAAAATTTTTTTACCTTTTAAAAAATATGTTTAAAAGATTTATTTAATAGTAAGGGCCATAAATTTCCCGGGGGGAACGGAAAACATTTATTACCAAATTTTTTTGGGGAAATTTTTAATAATAAAAAATTTTAAACCCCTGTTAAAATTTGCTAACTTGATATAACCGAGATATAGATAATGATTTGTCTATGCAAAAATACAAACCCCCCAAAAATAAATTTTGAGTTTCAAAAATGTAAGGATTCTGTAGTTTCGAAAAACGGCTGCGTAGTAATTAATTGCAAGATACTGGTTTATTAAAAATCATTTTGATTTAAGCATTACTAAGAAAAGAAAACAAAACAATATAAATCTATGTAATTTCAAAAAAATGTAAAGGAACAAAAAGAAAAAAATCTTTTGAATGTACATGACTGTATACTATTTGAGTCGGCAAAAAGTGCACTCTCAAAAAATCGTACATCACACCAATATATTTAAGCTGGTAAAGTAATATTTTCAACATGATACTTTTTAATTCATACCCTGCTTATCAAATATTTTTAAAAAAAATCACAAAAAACCAACAAAAACAAGTTGTGAAACACCTTCACAGAAATTCGTTATATTTTACGTATTTTTGACTGTGCCAGTTGGTAGGACTCTAGATCAGTAAGGCATGACCATTGACCAATAAAGTCCCTAGGATGATCCATAACAAAATTAACAAAAATAACATAAATATTTTGACAACTAACAAAAGTGACGTAATCTGATGTAATGTTATAACTCTAAAAAATGCACCCTGTTGATTTATGATACCACAGCCAAGTGCCACTTGTATATACAACATATGAAGTTTATTTCAATCAAAACCATTAGGCTTAAAAGCCCATGAGGCATACATTTACAAAACTTTATGACGAACAGTTATTATAGCTTAAAAAACAATCATTAAAAGACATTGGCAATCTTATTTTCATGGGTAGCAAGACACCTCACCCCCAGACACTTCACCCCTCAAATTTTGAAGACACTCCACCCCTTAAGACACTTCACCCCCCCCCCCCAAAAAAAAAAAATAAATCAGTAAGACACTTCACCCCTCATCCATTTTTTTCTATAAAGTAAATAAAACAAGTTGGCCAACAACAAAATGCTTAAATATGTTTATATTTATTATTTTTAGTATTATTTGATTAAAAATTTTGCTTATTACCTTTATTTTTACTAAGTTTAAAGCTGATTTAGGTTAATTGGTTGTATTGCCAAATGTATATCACAGCACTTTCATCCATTAAGTGTTTATTGCATGTCGCCTTGTTTATTAAACATGTTGATTAGTTGTTTATTCAACAGTTATCTCACAATTGATTAGATAATTGAATTAAATGGTATAATTGTATGAAAATTAAATTTATTCTTAATAAATAAATAAAATAAATAAATAAATAACATGAATATAAATGAATATGAATGAATGAATCGGTTGCTTTATAAAATATAGTAAATATCAATTATTTATCATCATTATCAGACACAATTATCCTGCATTTAATACAAAGATCATTCATAATGTCATTTATTAAACAAATAAATAGCACCAGTTATGTTAATTAAGCACAAATTAATGCACAAACCATCACCAAATGAGCGTAACTCAATGATTATTATATGGTAAGGATCAAACTGAAAACAAACTTAAGTGACAAAACTTCAAGAATTTAATCAACTCAAAATTTATTAGACAATGGGTTAAAACAATAAACATACTCAATCACTATTGAATGTATTTAACATTATCTACATAAATAATTGTAAAACACAAAATAAAAAAAAATGAGGGGTGAAGTGTCTCAATCAAATTTCTTAAAATGAGGGGTGAACTGTCTGAGGGGTGAAGTGTCTGCAAAAAAGGGCCTAGGGTGAAGTGTCTGGGGGTGAAGTGTCTGTAAGCCTTTGTCACAAATACGCCGAAATTTTCTAAATGACAGAAAATAACACAGAAAACTAGAAAATGACCATTTTAATTTATAATAGGCAATTTCAGTTGGAATTGGTTTTTATTAAATATTAAAATTTGATTAAGTTACTGGCTTTTTGTCCTGGCATTTGGGAAAATCTAGGTCTTATAAATATATTCACTTTGAAATTTCGCTGTTTCACTCCGTAGCGAAACGGATTTATAAATCCGTGGTAGCGAGAATTAATCTCAATCTTTGTTTTTGTATTTTTTCTATTGTCTTGATTAAATTTATGTATGCATGCGTAAATTTTTACATTTTATCATCATAAATTGAACATCAGTAAATTTACGCATTTAACTTTTCAATAAGCCTGGGACATAAGATCTGTCCCAGAAATAAGCTAACTTTCTATGCTTCATGCATAGTTTTTATCCCCCATTTACGTCACATCCGGTAAGAGGTGAAACTCTTTCCTGACTATTATCACTTAAATGAAAGGGTCTATAGATCTCTATATGATAATCAAAATTTATCCGCGCTAAACGATCTACATGTAGCTATTTTAAGTTGTTAAAAACTTAAAAGATTAACGATGTTTTAATAAAGTTTAGAAACGTTCATTTTGCGTGCTTTTAGCGTGCGATATATCGTTTTAGCGTATTTCGTTTAGCGTATATCGTTTTGCGTGCGTCTGCGTATTTCGTTTCGTTTTGCGTGCGTATAACGTGCGTTCGTTTAGCGTGTAACGTGCGTTCGTATAGCGTGTAACGTGCGTTTTGCGTGTAAACTGACACGTTCACCCTACTGTATATCTTGCAGGATGGTCGGCTGATTTTCGTGACATTCCTGGATGTCTGGGACTTTATGACATGTATGATGTTATATGTGCATCATATATAGGTGTGTAGGGGTGTGTGAGACATATTTGTAAAATATACATAAGTATAGACCAAGTAAACATCTCTTTATAGTCAACATCAGGTATTTAAATTTGTATATTGGTCACTCTTGTACAGAATTAGTTTCATATGATAGATGAATATTGTGTTATACTGCTGTAGTTTTAAGGAAAATAAAGTCCCATTTTGAAGTATAAAAACCCCTGTACATTCTTTATCAATGTGTTTCCCTATAATTAAGCCATAGGAATTTAATTAATGTTGCATGCATACACCATTATATTACAGTGTTAGTGGCGGCACAGACTATTATGCTGCAGATGAGAATGAAGTGTTTCAAACTGATCGTGACCTGGTAGAAACCCTTAATCTACCCAGCCATCCTGGTCCAACTAGAAACTCAGAGGAGCCTTTGTTTGACCCAGAACAAATACAAGGTCATATACAAGCCCAGCAACAAGAAACAATGGATATTAGAAAGGTGTCTTTGTTCTAAAATAGATAACCCAAACAAAAAATACATCAACAAATTATATCAAAATTGTGAATAAATCTGGAATAAATCATGTTTTCCTGATTTGTTAATACAATTTGTTCATGATTCACTAAATGAATCATAAATAAATTGTGCTTTTACTGGAAAGAAAAGATCCCATTTATTATAGATTCATTACAAAAACAGATTTATTAACCATTGATTACAAACATAAGATATATTCAATACAATTTATTGCAAATTCATTACACTTGAACTGGAATGTATACAATTTATTCATGATTTATTGGAAATAGAACTTTTCCCGACTGCATTTAATACCATTTATTACAAATTCATTACAGTTTAAAGTTCTGAGATATTCACAAGTTGTTCATGATTCATTAAAATCAGAGATTTTGCAGGATTTATTCAATACAATTCATAACATATTCATTGTACTTCAGATGTAGGCCCTTTTGTTTTATTGTTCATAACAACTAAACCCCTCTCAACTATACAAATATTTTTTTAATTTCCCTTTACTTATTACCGTACTTGTTTTTAATCAGTCACTGGAAAATATATATGGGTTTTTCAAGTCTCTTAGTTTAAGCATCACCATATTATTAATTCAATGCTCAGCGCAAAACGTAAAAAAAGAGTCAATTAAACAATCTCGTTTTACTGTTAAATATGTCTAACTAATTTGCATGTAGATTTTATTTTTGAGTGATCAAGATCAGTTTTTGTCTTTCTTAATTATTGTTAATACGCAATCTGATCCATACCCACGGCTTTTTATGATTAGATCTATCATTATCAGTAAAAAAACTGTCGAATAGATTAACGTATATGCGTAAAAAGGTAAAATGTCGTAAAAAAGCGACTTAATTCTCTCGGACTTAACATCTGTTGTTAGTTTATTGTTTTGAACAGCATGGCTCCCAGTCGCGCGATTAAACGATAAGATATTGCAGGGAACTGCAGCCTACCGAGCGCCCCCTATCAGCCGACAACAGAACAAAATTAATAGGAAACGAAATTTTTTTGCCATTTCAGAAAAAAGATATCTTACCATACAAACAGTTTTCTTTCTTTTGGATATAACAAATGTCAGAAACAAACTAACTTACAACTGATTTTGTCATTGCAGGTGCAAAATTAGGAACTTAATTTATACAATACTATAGTAGCTAGGAATAACATTTCGTTTGCATTAATTCTATACATAGGAAAAAGGCGGTTTTTTTGGAAGATGAAAACTTGTGGTGTTACACAAAAATATGGATAAAAAACAATATCAAGGCATCTAGACTACTGATAGACGGTAAGTTCAAAATTTTCTTTTCGTTCTACATAGCGTTTTTAAAAACCTTCTAGATCTATATCATATGTAAGTTGACAAAAAATAAAATTTACTGGAGTAATGTGCAGATTAGGATAACGATCGATTCGCCCCATAAGGACTCACCCCATTTTAGTGACGATTCGTCCCACCCTAATGGCATGAAAAATATTTATGATACAAGATACAAGTTTTAAAATATGCACGCATGTACATGCATTGTTTATGAGGATATCTATGTACAGCCCATTTTAAAAACATAAATCTTCATTGTTTCACACCTGGGACATACCTATGTCCCAGTTCACACTGAGCTCATCTGCACATTTGAATGCGATGAAAAATGATGTTCTTTTTTTATTTTAAGTGACTTCAGAAGACTATTTTTCTTTTACTTAGTTATCTCGCAGACAACTGAAAAGAGCAGCAAAGAAAGGACAGAACGTAAAAATCAGCAACTCTGATGAGATGGCATAAAAAGCAGATGAACGGGAGATAATAAAATGCAGATGGACGGCTTCTTTGATCGTGAAGAGTTTGCTATTAGTTATGGGACGAGGGCATTCTAAGGAAATGACATATATGAGTCTTTGAAGCGTAAGTATAGGGCTACATATATATCAATCATTTTAAAAATGACAATGTGCTTTTTAAATATTAAGTAAATGATGAAAAATAATACTTCTCAATCTGAATTTTGTTCATGTACATATAGTAATTCAATGTCATAGCCTTTCAATTTCGTTTTAAATTTAATTGAAGCAAATGGTAAAAAACTGGACTTGCTACAAAATATTTGTTCATTCCTCTGTTGAAAATGAAATCGAACATTCACCCGTTTGTTTTATCAACAAATATTTATCTATCATCAGACTTTGTGAAATATACTGCTGGTTTTTATTCAATAGAACATGTACAGTCCAAAGCTTGGTTGAGTCCTTTAGTGTATTTGCCTCGAGTTGAAATTCAAATTAAGATTGTATTGCAAATATAACAAAAATATATCATACTTTTTTCAGAGTGATATGTCAGAAGTCTAAGTTTAAATTTTGATATTTTATTTATAAATATGATACTTTTTATGAGAATTTTCTTTTCTATTTCAGAGTATGCCATTCATTGCCTCAGTATAGAGATTCAACATTAAATGATTATAGGAATAAAAAAGGTGTAGCTCCAGACAGACACTGAAAAGGAAGGCAAAGATGTTTTCAGACTGACATAAAGCCCTAGTTTTTAAAACTAGAAATATATTCCTAACAACAAGCACGCATATTTCCAGAATTATTCCCCTTTACTTGTTTACCTGACATTACCTGTTTTATTTGCAGGGATATTTATGAAATGAGCTATGCACGTACATTATGAGTTTTCAATGTTATGATGTGGTGGCATAGATTTTTTCACAAATTTTAATCTTGTTGTATGTTCTTGATTAATCTAGTCAGTTTTTCTTTGTAAAAAATAAAAGAAAAATAAATAAAATTTATCAAGATGTGTTATTATTATTATTATTTTCATATTTTTCTCCGGAATTGACACCATCATTGGAACCTGCATTTATTCAAAATCCATTAGATGAATATATGCAGACAAACCTGATTTGTTAATGATTCATTAATACATTGAATTTCGGTTTATGGAAGAAGAAAAAATACAATTTATTAGTGATTCATTAACAATTTATTTGCAATTCATTAATGAATCAGGTGATCAGCGAACCTAATTTATTGCCAATTGAGTGACCTGATTTGTTGATAATTCATTGACTAAGTCAAGAGAAGGACCAAATTCATAACCCATTTGTTAACCTGATTAATTAACAATTTATTCATAATGCATTGGCTCATTTGCATGTCATTTCCATCTATAATAAATTGGGAATAAATGGTAAATTTGTTTATCATTTATTATACTGATTCATTCCTATCTTTTTTTTGTTTGGGTTAAATTTATATGTTGTTATTAAAGAACAAGTATCAAAGATGCCTCTAGATTCATGATGATTTTCACGAAAATGTTGAAATGTATTTAAAAGCAAAATATTGTCAAGTGAACAAAGAAAGTTATTTACACATTGCAAACGGCGCCTTAAATCTACGCAAAATACCCCCAAAAAAGGTCATAATTTGCAAAAATATCCCTTACTATGATAGTTAAATGCAATAGAAATATGGTGAGAAATAAACAAAGCCAGACATTAATCGCACATTACATGTAAATTATTATTAAATCTTGAGTCTTTTTACCTTTCTTAAAATCTTAGTGCATTTTTCTCAAGTATGATTTCTTGAAATATTTTGGCTTATCTGGAGGCATGTAGATTTAAGACTCGGTACTCAATACTTTAAAACACTTGCATTACTATACAGGTAGCTGTGATTGATAGATGTATGTTTATTGTGTTAATGCAGGTCTTGTCAAGAATTGTTGATGGTAGCAGATTTAGCGAGTTCAAAGTCCAGTATGGTACGACATTAGTTACAGGATTTGCTCATGTTCAAGGGTGAGACATTGGTTTAGTTTATACAAATTTATTTTATTTTAGTTTTTGTTGGAAACTATATGCTTATTAAACCACTCATGAATCCATTCTTGAAACCAACAAGTACTATGCAATGAATGTAAAGTTTCTTGCTCAAGGAAACTCTTTTTGTTCTATATAATTGCAAATAAATCTTGTTAAAGGTAGTTTTTCATAAATAAAACTGTTTTATAACTTTTGTTCCATCATTATGCCTGATGAAGAGCCTGAATTGTCATAACGATTATAGTCCTACAAATATGACGTCGCTTTGAGATATTTTTCATGATTATAATGATTAAAACCTCTTATTTAATGAAATAACTTATACAACAGATAAAAAAATGGCCGTCACACAGTCTGCAAAATCTGGTTGGCTTATTCAGATACAAGGATTTAAACCTGTCAAACGTTTCAAGGGAAAATTTTTGAATGAAATATTTGCCCATGCACTGTCAGCATGTACAAATATTTTTTTTTGTTCAAAAAGTTGTCATTAATTTGTAAAGCCCTTTACTTAACCAGTATGGCCCATATGAAAAATAGATTTATGTTTGTATTTTATTTTAAATTGATAACTACATTGTTTGAGAGTTTTTGTTAATTATTGAGCATGATATTGAAAGAAAATTTAAAAAAGCTTGAAAGGCAAGACAATGGACATTTTCTGAATTTTTATGATGCTATATGTTTATTAGCAATAACTATTAGAAGTTGGGCTTGACCAACATAATCTACAAACAAACCCAATATATTGGACTTGCGACTAATATACTCCTTGAAAATTGATAAAAAGTCATTGAAAAGTCCTTTTGGTCAAGTCCTGTATGACAAATGTCATATATTCTAACTAAATATGGTTATATTATTAGTTATAAAGATTTTTGTCAGGTTATATGGCCCTATATAAACGGTTGGTTGTAAATATAACCTGAGCCGCTAGGTGAGGGTTATATTGAAAACAACCGTTTATATACGGCCATATAACCTGTCAGAAATATTTATAATGAATTTATAATACAACAAGCATCATTTTTAGTGAGAAAAGTGAGATTTCTTCATAAATCGACAGCAGCCGTGTATATAAAGCTATAAAAACGTCACAATTATCCAATGAAAAGTGACGTTGCAAACGTGCAGTATTATAATGTTGTTTTTTTTTAGTTTTTCTAATGTAAAACATTTTTACTTTTATATAAATATCTGATTTGTGAACTGAGCAATATGTTCATTCATTTCAAATTATGATGTTAATTTTTTGGTACAGGTATTTGGTGGGTATAATAGGGAACAATGGTGAAATAACAGATACAGCTGCCGCTAAAGGAGCTCATTTTGTCCAGATGTGTTCAGAACGTAACATTCCAATTGTTTTTCTACATAACACTGTCTCTCAATCCACAGATAATACATTTGGTAGGTTGAAAGATTAATTTAAACTAAACAAATTCTTCTGATGAAAATAATGGGTTTTTTTAATCTCAGGTAAATCATGATAAACAAAAATCATTTAAATTTTTTAACAATTAATTTAATGTAATCATACCATATAATTTCTAACCATGAACTGACTTCATTTAAAAACCTCATCTAGTGCTTTAAGTTTGAAAAACATATCATGTTTGAAATAATCAACCCAAAATAAAAAAATGATTGGACCACATGTGTTTTAATTTCAGTCTTGTTAAAATTTTATGTTTTGTGTCTTTAAATAGAATCATTGAGTGCTGTATTTGTTTTGCAATTATCAATTAAATTTCTCTTGGAAGATTTCTCTTTCACATAACTTTTGGTTAGCTTTTTGCAGAAGTAATGCAAATATTTTTGTTTGTTTCAGGTTTAACGGGTGGTAATTTTGTTCGAGATCATGCTAAAATGATGGCAGCTGTAAGCTGTGCTAAAGTACCAAAGATCTCTTTTGTGATTGGTAATAGTATTGGACCTTCAAATTTTCTGATGGTAAGTAGTTGGTAATTGCTTAAAAGTAATATAGATAGAAATATAAATCCACAGCCATGGATCTAAAGGATCCTTATTTTTAGCTTTAAAAAGGCTCAGCCCCTTGTCAGTGTTTGATTAGGTTTCGTTTTTGATCATTAATTTCAGTATTTTCAAAGATTTTACAATTAAATTAAACTTAATATTTTGATTCATACAATCCCAGGGCATATCATTGGCGAAGATATGCCATTTTTCGACTTGGTTTTTTTTTTCCCTTGTCAACATTTTTGCTAAGTAAATTTATCAAAATTTATCAAAGATAGTTACTTTAATCTTATTATACTTGTTCACTATTAAAATTTGAATGCATTGTATATAAATATGGTCTTATTTATTCCAGTGTGGACGTTCATGTAGCCCAATTCTAATTTTTTCATGGCCAAATGCTGCAATAGGTATGATGAAAGGCTCCCAGATTGTGCAAGCAATAATGCAGGTAGTGTTTTTATTACCCCCTTTAACAGGAAAACTGTGTGTATTTCTTACTCTTTGGTTGATCTAATAATAACTAGAGAATAGTTGTACCTAATGAAGTGGTGAATATTGCACATTTTCTCCATCACTGGTTACCAAGGGGGCAACTGGGTTTTGAAAATAGGCTTTTTTACTGTATAATTTACAGATAATTATTGACCATTGTAATGTTATTTGATATTTTTGTGAACCTCTGATTATTATAAAACCAAATTGAAATTCTTACATTTGCTTAGTAAAGCTTTCATGTTTTATCGAGCATAAGTGAATGACTGAGATTTGTCTCCGGTAATTTTGCTGTATTACATTTAACTATTATTATTTATGCAGGAAAAGTTTGATAGGAAAGATGTTGACAATACTGAGGCGAAAGCAGAATTGGAGAAGAAGTTAACACAGAAATATTTGCTGGAAACATCTGCCTTCTACATTAGTTCTCGTGTGTTAGACGATGGAATTATTCTTCCTCAGCATACCAGACAAGTATCTACTTTTCTATTTATGTGTCATGATAATGAAGTTCTTTATCATTTTGTTTAAGAATCCCGACAAGGACTTTGGATTATTTCATGTGAGGAAGCTATCTAGCTAGATTACAGAACATTGGTGTTTCTACTCAGGTGCAGGTGCATGCCTAACATAATGTACAGAAGGGCACCTAAGGTCTTCCCGCACCAGTAAAGCTGGAACATTTCAATATGACCTATAAAACTGTGTCATTGTGACATAAAACCCAATCAAACTAACAAACAATCATTTTGCTTAAAGTCAAAAACATTATCATTGTCATATTTCGTTAATTTTTGTAATGTAAAAAGTGTCCATCCATGTCCATGTCTGTAAATTGATTGCATATCATTTTTATATAAGTTTCTTTTATCCAGGTTAAGACAAAATCTTTTTATACATAACCTGGAGAATCTGTTCTAGTTTCCCTTAAAGGTTAATATCCAACACTTCTTAGAATAAACTTGCTAGGTTATGCATATATTCCATTCTAATTGTTCTTTTTCAATCATGCTAGTATCAAATATAACACACTTAAAAGCTTGATATACATGAAGATTCATTTCTGTTTACAATTTATGAATGTATTTAATACAATGTTTACTTTATTTATAGGTGATAGGAAGATGTCTTGACATAACAGCAGCATACCTTCCCCGACAACAGACTAACTATCCTGTGATACGAATGTAAACTGTGATATATATATTTCTGACACTGTAAGATAATGACATAGCAAATGATATTATTAGATATAATTATTATATTTTAAATCAGCATGCCTCCAGATTAATTTTTTTAATATGAAAATGTAGTTAAAAGTAAATTAATGTGAAGTGAACAAAGAAAGTAATTTCCATGTTGCAAACAGCACTTATAATCTATGTTTGTTACTGAAAAAGAGGTCAAAATAGGCCTTACTAAGTTAGTCAGGCAGTAGAAATATTGTGATAAATACTGCAAAATCCAAAAACAGTCATTAATCACATAAAACATATAAACTATGGTTGAATCTTGAATATTTTCTCTTTTCTCAAGTTTGATTTTCTTAAAATATTTTTGGCTCATCTGGAGGCATGCATGCAGGTTTATTGGTTTATCATTTTTAACGTCCATTTTCTCAGCAACTATCACAGGATTCACTCCTAACTTGCTATACTTGTTCAGAATGAAAAGGGTGATACTATATAAGACAGATAATCTTAATTTCATTTTTTTAAAAACTTTATTACCCTTTTTCAACTTTATCTCAGAAACTATCAAATTTTCCAAATTTTCTCAAAAACTGTAACAGATATTCACTTGAAACTTATATAACACATGTTAACTACCAGCGTTAGAAGAAAGGTCATTATTTTCCTTTTGAAACTTATTTTCTTTTTTTTTCCAAAACCATGATAAATATTCACCTTCATATGTGAATTTTACTAATCATGAAGTGCACAGTGTAACAATGTTCAACATGACATGATTGAATAAGATTGAATGTATACCTATTTATTTACAGATGTATCCTTACACTGCCAGATTCTATTTCGTACCTTTATAGTTTTAACTTTTTATATCAAGTTTAATATCAAATCTATTAATTACTATGTATACAAATTTTGCTGTGAAAAGGCTTTGACTGTTTAAATCAAGTTATGAAATGGTTGATTAAATTATTAATATTGTGGGAAAGGATTTATATGTTTTACAATGATGTTACATTTTATAATGAATTATACTCATGGTAATTGAAGTTTTTATCAACCTTATATTGACAATACTGTCAATCTAAACTTATAATAACTTGTATCATATTAACATTTTCTATCCAATCACAATCAATGTAAGTCATTTATCATTTCATATCTAGTTTAGAATAAAACTATATTTATTTATGTGTGTTTTAATGTTATTCTTTACCGTAGAAGTAATGGAATAATTGTATACACATGCACTTTAAGTAATATATTAGGTAGCTGTGTGAAACCCAGGCTTGCATTATGTTTTATCTTAAAAATCTGTCTTAAACAAAATCAAGAACGTAGCTTGGTATATATTTATGTGTAGGTCACAACACCTTGAAGATGTTGTAATGATCAAACCATCTTCCATGGCTGCCTGATTCATTCTTGCCACACACAAATTATGCATTTACTTCTCTCAATATAAAAAATAGCTCAAGTTATGAGCCTGTTTGTTTGAGATAAGCCGGTATCTCGAGCATGGACAAGACAACACCATCTATAGGGCAAGAGTTGCATAAACCGCTTCTAGAATTCCTAATTCACACTTGTGAAAGAATGAAACACATGTAAGGCATCTTAGATAAGAAACATATTAAGTGACTACAATAAAGTCTGATTTTACTGTTCTATGAACAGCGTATATTCTTTTCGAACGAATGGGTGTGCAGGATAGTAAATAAATGGTGTAATGTCCTCGCTACGTTTGTTAAATTGAATCTTTCACACATAGAAATGTAAACATGTGCCTACTCATGTCTTATAGGTGTCACAGATATCCGCATTGGTGCACATCTGCGTATGTTAAATAAATTTCTTGAATTACATAAAATGCGTTGCTGGCCTTGTCGTCGGGGCCGTTGACAGCCCCTCACAATTGTAGGTTCGAATCTTTGGATTTTGACTTTTGATAGTATAATGTGAAGAAGCTGTCCAGCGAGTTTACGGAACATTAGTTGTTCTACTTGAGTGCCAACTCGAACCTGAAATAATGCACGGGGGACTGCTGAGATCTTCCTCTACCAGTTAAGCATGAACAGTGTTGATTCGACATAAAACCCAACAAAAAATACTTTACATAAGTTACTTTTATTAAGAGTGTTTAATTCTCATATCCGTTGCTGTATTCTTTTTTGATCCGGTCTATTTTCCATTACACTGTTTGACATTTAACAAAGTATTTTAATATAATTTGTAATTAAATTATAAATATTATGGTATTTCTATATTTGCTATAGTTCCCTTAACATTCAGAGCACTATTTTTTCAGGTATTAAAAATTAATTCAAATCAATTTTATTTTTTATGTGTCCGTTAAACATATAAAGTCATTGCAATTATGCTTCGTTAGGTGGTTTCAGTGGACACGGCGAATATAAACAGTATTAATAATGAAACTTGCCTTGTGACCGATGAAATATACAAGGAGACCAGGGATCATCATAGGAAAACGACAATCATAGAACATAGCCTTGACAGCATTTATACACTCGACCAGATATTGTCAATCTTTTAAAGCGTTATTTAATGACGACTATGAACTTTTTACAAAGCTTATTATATCCAGTTGGCTATTTTGGGTTGGCAGTTGTTTTTGTCCAATTTCTTTTTTATCAATTTCATCTATTAATATTTTATTTGAATTGAGTTGTGTTCACAAATACTTCCACTTCGGCTTTGCCAAATATTTAAACGTTTTATCATGTGAACAATGCATCTTTTCAAGAACTCCGTATCAACGATTTAAAGATTATCAATTTTTGAATTTGTTTTGTAAATATCTCATCATTTTGCTTGTCATTCTCTGTTTCAGTAAGCTGTAAACTTTCAGCATTTATTTACAGAACCATTACTAACATACATACAGTTGTTGAAGTAACAAAGAAAGTCATAAAGGTCCAAAAACAGATACTGTCTAGAAACTGCACCAAGGTCTGATTTTTGCTGCATACTGTTTCCTTCATCTCATTCCCTGTACTATCTCCAATATCAATATCTTTGTGTCCTTGCAAGCCTTCATCATCGTTTTCTTTATTTGTCACATCCACCTGTCTTACATTCTTGCTACATTTTAAGAAAATTCTGAACAAGACAGACACAAACTGCGGTACTTTTGTTTGATACTTGTCATTCTCCATTCGGACAACAGTAATTGATAGAATAGAGATGATGATAGCCATAGAAAACTGTGTAATAATGTACAGTTGAATGTATGATACATATTTGGACACTCTTGGTACTGAATCACTGATCATGTTTAAAAGAACTACGTAGGTCAACAGTAAGGAGATATTGTAGCCTATCCTTTCACCACAAGATGATGGTAACTTGAAAGTGAAGACATTCATCATAGACAGCATAACTACTGGTATTATTACATTTAGTACATAAAATATATATCTCCTTTCTAGAATAATCTGTATTTCTATGTAAGTCAGATAAGGACGGCGAGTTAAGTATTTGATATTTGTGTCTACAATTATCCATTCATTGTTTTCCTCTGTCATTTTTATCATCATTTTATTTGTCACTGTTCTCAAACTTTCTTGAACGTCTAAATAGGTCATTTTACCTAACAAGATTGTACATATTTGTGTATCAAAAGGATATTTTCTTATGTCCACATTACAGCCTGTCTGAAGATTGGCACCTGTGTTCCATACTGCCATGCCTTCATATTTTATTGTAACTTTTGATTCTTTACTTTTATAAACCCCTATGTTTTCTCTGAAAGCATTTTGATAGGTGACATCAGGTGTCCATACACTGCCTGCAGAAATAATAAAACTGTCTGCTTCTCCAAACTCAGAAGAATTCCATGTGAAAGTTTCATACTTCCATGAAAGTTGCATGGCGAAAGTTGAAGTAAGAACTTGATTTTTCTCATCAAGTCCATGTAAATGTGTTAGAACTGGCACTACATCGACATGTACGGTATCAGATTGGTTAATTACTGGTCTTATATCAATGTCCATTCTTTCTGTGAGATGCTTGTGAAGTCTCTGTAGATCATTAAAAGTTGCCATACTCACAGCATGGAAACATAAAACACTTACTGCAAAAAATAAATTGAAGAATCTTAAATATATAGCAAACATCTTGATTATTTTTTAGAAAATCAGTGTGTCCGTCCATGAAGGATCATGTAATAGAAAATAATTTTCAGGGTGCTTTTTATATATCACAGTGTAGTTGTCAATAATTCATTGTTGTTTTTATTTGATTTTTGTTTAACTATAATGTATTTGATAGCTTTATCTATTCAAACAGTAACAGAGAAAAATTATCTCTAATGGATTTTTTAAAAGGTTTTATATTTAATACAATAGTCTTTGTGATTTGTTAATATTTAAAAGGCTTATTTCATATACAAAATGTATTTTTTAATGCTGGAAATGTGATGTATGAAGATTTTTGTGGACATTAGTACTAAAATGTATTATCAAATAACTAAAGGATTAAGTGATTTAATGTAAAATGTATTGATTTACCAGGAATAATGTCAAGCTAGTATTGTATTGCGTGTCTCTCTGAAATCTGTTGAATTCCGATATGTTCAGGTTCAAGGTTTGAATGGACATTTTACTTTATAGATAAAAAGAAATTTGGAAGCTTGAAGAACATCCAAAACGTCAGAATTATGATTGTAGTTTCGATTTGATTGACCCTGTTTTTGGACGACACTCGGGTAAACCATTTTTATTGTCCACATCGGAACTAAAAATTGTGATTTACAGTCACTCTTTAACTGATGTCAACTGCTTAAATGCTTACAGACGACTGCTTAATGCTTATTGTTAATTAATAAATACCATCTGTCACACCTGCCAAATACATGTACCCGATTAAATGCTTGAAGTAAATTTAGGCTTTTTACGTCCTTCTTCCAATGTGTTTATATGTTAAAATGGGGACCTTTAAAAACAGTACTGGTCAAAGAATTACTCTGTATCATAGATGAAGGCTTTGACTGATAAAACCTTGGCATTCGTTACATTTATACATGTATAATTCTCGTATTACTTAGCAGAAAGATAGGTATATATATTTGCAGGCATTTGGAGCTTATAAAAATGTTATCAAACCAAATGAAACCAGTTTTTTCTGTCTTTAACTCTCGTTTTCAAATTTTAAGATACCAATCATAACTGCTTTCTTAATTAAAAATTGAAGGTATATATCCGTTAACGAACAACCTTGTAAAAGACAGTCATTTAGATACATCTACCATGTAACATACATATATTATAATATTTGATATAACTATATGTTATTTTTGACTGTAGGCCTGGTAATGCCATGAACGTCGTTGCTTAATCCATGGTAGGGGCCGGTATAACGCATTTCTTCACTAAATGTAGCTTTATGCTTTTAAGAGTTGGCGAAGAATTCAAAGAATAGTTAGGTCTTAAGTTTACAATAATTAAAAATATTAACGTTAGTTTCATGAAAATCATAGATTTGATACATTACCTTGGACATAATTTTAATTAAAATGGTAAAGATATTTTCACTGTAAACATTTAGTTCT